ATATTATAATTCTAAGAATCGGAAATTAAATGGTGAAAAAAAACAGCTTACTACAATTCAATTCATAATAATTTAGGTGATTGAAGTTAATGATTCCTTTTTAAATGGTTTTCATCAACTTTTATACCTAATTAATTATATAAATGTAAATAAGTAAAGAAAAATCTGTTTACTATCTTGGTCTATTTGTTAACAGAATTTCTTCTTTTTTTGTATAGTTTACTGTTGACGAGGTTTAATGTTTTTAATAAGTTTTGCACCTGTGATCGACCATTAGGTCCATCAAATTTATAATAAATCTAATCCTATAATAAACGATCTATCTCACATTTTAATCCTTTCATTATCATATCAATATACCTATTTTTATCTCATCTATAAGTGAATAGGCAACGGCTTCAATAAAAAAAAAAAGTTGTAGCACTCAGAACAAGAAACTGTTAATAGTACAACTAAAAACAAGTGAATCAACGGCAACTAGTTGCAATGCAACCTATCTACGTAGCTCCAAGGCCCTACCACATCAACACAGTACTTTCGCTGCAGCGCTGACAATAGAGATTTCCCACCATCGTGGGAAGTATTTTTTCCCTGTAAATAAGTGCACTGTTACCTAGCCATCCATTGAAGTGTAAAGTCTTGGTCACTACACAGCACTGGTCACGTCTCACGTCCTGCACTGCACTGAAAAACTTTTACTTTTCCCGGTCAGATCGGCTGGTCGCGCATGCGCGGTGCACGGTGCGCGGGCGCTTGTGAGGCGCGCAACACACTGCCGCCACCCGCGCCCGTCTCTCCTATAAATTCTTTGCATGACTCGTGCCATAGCATGGCCCTGTACAGTCAAGCACTTATGTGCGCACGCCCTTAGCTCAAAGCTGCGCGTTCGGTTACTTACTCAAATAGGCACAAAAAAGTATAGACATCTGCATAAAGGTAAATATTATGCCTATCACTAAAAGTGTGTTGAGTATCCTTAAAAAGGTTTTCTTGTACAATATTCAGATCCTATAATAAAGAAGGTGAAACTGCGATAAAAAATATATTAAACAGTCAAAATGTTACGCAAAAATGACTTAAATTAAGCCAATATAAGAAAACACCCAAGGTGAAAGATAATACAGATTTTAAACTGCATATTTCCACATCAAGATATAATCTTAATCAACCACGTGGGCTCTCATTATAAAATTAACCACAGGATTGTACCTGCGGCGCGCGCGCAGCCTCCGGTCGTCGATCGAGCAACCAGTCCGACCGCATGCTCCTCTCCCTCCCGCACACTTCTGTCCCAAACTTTCGATCACACACACAAAACCCTACTCAAGCTTTTAAGCATAAAGCTCAGTTTCACCTGCACTTTAATCTTATTTACGATTCTTCGGAACTGGTCCCAAATACTTCTGCTATTTCGTACAAGACATGGCGTACAGGGTTCTCTACATATTTGTCCAAACTTGGCCGGAATTGGACCGTATTTAAGGGGCATAGGACTGAATTCATTCGCAGGTTGTAGAATGCACCTGCCCTCCAGACACGTCGTACATGTAATTATTGCTCAGGGCTAAATTGACTGGTGGACTAACACAAATTTGTCGTGAGGCTCCTTGATTTTCTTGTGAGTAGTTAACTATACAATTGCTTTATGATACTTACAAACCTTTATTATTGGTAGTACAAACGTTAGACTGATTGTATTCGAACTGTCACGGAAGATGTGAAGATGATTTTGACCACAAATGGTTAGAGCTAATCAGAACTAGTTCACTACTAGTTCTTAGCACGTAGTGTCGAATCGTAGTCACGTACTTAACAGGGATTCGTACAAGGTAAATTGTGACTAGGGCAGAGTTTTGTCAGAGGTAATAGAACACCGACAACACAAATACTAATTGAAAGAAAAACTTTGCAATCATTCGTCACTGCGTGAACTTTTTGCCCAGTTAGTCGTACTAGGAAAATAGCCCACATTTCAGAAGCCAAATAAATTATCTCTACCGTCAAGAAGACTCTTCGGATTGAGAAGGGAAGCGAACGCTTCTAACACCTCTAGTGTTGTGACCTTTGATAGTTACCGCGTTACCGGCATACCGGTTAAAATCCGGTATGCCATGTGCTTATTTGCTATTCAAGCAGAATCCTCGAATGAACTTTCATGGTTTGCCATTTATGAATATTCATGGTAAATATTTTTACTTAAAAGTGGTTTGAAGGTTAAAATTCCTAGCACCAATTTTGTTAAGAACAAATTATATTTTTTTGTTAAATTCATGTTTTTGATTGTTTACTTTTATATTTATCCATCAGATTTGGTATACTCTTGAACAAAGATGCAGGGATGGCGTAGTGGCTAAAGCGGTCATCTCACCGCTTCCTACTGCGGTTACGGTTCCATCACCTCATGGGACAACACTTTGTGTGTTCAACAGACTCCGAGTCTAGGTGTTCTTTGTGTCTGTTTCATGAACATTTGTAAAGTCCCCTGCGACACAGGATATTCCTAGTGCGGGAGTTGTCGTTTTTAAAAAAGAAGGCTGAGGTATTTTTTTTATTTTCTTTTTATAACCCAACGGTTCGATACGAGTTGTGGCCTAATTATTTACGCCGTCCACTACACCTCCACTACAGTACTACGAGGTATGTACATCTTTTGAAATCTCCTAATTTTTGTACGGTACAGGGGGCAAACTAGCAGACGGGTCACCTGATGGTGGTGATAAGTCACGTCAGCTTAGGAAAAAAACTAAAGAATTGTTTAACACCGGTTTTTTGTGATGCCGTAGTATCCTCTACTACTAATCCGGTCGATCTTAAACATGTTCCAAAGCATGGCTTACCCACGACTTGACTTTCTAAGTCCTTTACTCCAGTAGTTACCCTAACTGCTAAGGTCGTGGATACGATTCCCACTCGAGACAAATAATTACGTGATGAGCACGATCATTTGTTCTGTGTCTGGGTGTGAATTGTCTTTCATATGTTCGTACTTAGTAATATAAGTTTATTAGCAATTTGGTTACCATAGTACAGGCTCTGCCTACTTTGGCATCAGACTGCCGAGTGTATGATGTGTGTAGTTATTATATACTAATAATCCGTGTTGTGACGGATTAAGTGTCACCGCCCCTAGTCATTCCATGAGTTTCGTAAGAGCCGACTAAGGGAGCAGGACAACAGCTCTGCAAAGATAAAGAAAAGTTCTAACAAACTTCCCGAAGCAGCCGTGCCCGGAAAGGAACAGCATCAGTCGGAAGTAAAGGGTCCCATTCTGCCGCCCTACCCACTCGACAATAACCGGCTGGAGCGCCTCCACGGCGACAAAGCCAGCACTTGGAACCTCCAGCCAAACGCCACGACGGTTCTTTGGTCGTCCCACCAATGAGCCATCGTGGCTCGGCGAGCGGCCTCGCGTACCTATTCGGCCAACTGCCACTACCCGCCCGGTAATCTACCGCGAATTTACCGATACTTTACCGGTAATTTACTTCGGCGAGACCGATATACACAGAGAAGTTCCGGCCAACGCGCAAGCCACCTCGAAACGGTGCGGCAACCGCGTATGGCTCTAACCGCCAACATCCTCTGAGGGCGCCAGAGGCGTGCCCTATTCTGGGCGGTCAGAGCCGCCGCCCACACCGGTGTACCGTACAGTGCCATTGACCGGACAACCCCCGTGTAGTGGTCTTGTCGCGACGCTGGGTCTCCCCAAATTAGGTAAAAGTCGTCCTAGGGCAGACGCAGCGCCGACCAGCTTTGGAAGAGCCACCCCCCGCCTAGGATCAGACCCAGATCACTTCATCTGGGCCTGAACCGGTACGAGGACCGAGTTGACCACGATTGAGGCGCCAGAGGGTGGACCACGACGGGCCCATAATAAAAAGAATAATCCTTTATTCTTTTATAATATATAAGAGGGCCTCAAGTTCTAATAAACCCTTTACCAACCCGTCTGGCTAGCGCGGTATAGTAGGCCAAAACCTCATTTCTAAGGAGAGGCCTATGCCCAGCAGTGGACTATTAAAGGCTGTTGATGATAATGAAAACCAGTATTTGTTCCCATATATTTATTTTAAAACCAACAAACATTATTATTTCCCCTATATTCATACTATGAACAATGTACATACATTCTTACCATAAGTACAACAACAGTTTATGATCATATGCACATATAAATGATAATATATAGCTTTTTGTTTATTATAACGGTTATTTATATGGCATATATATTTGCCTACATAATACCTCAATGGTTTTCAAAATATTTTTTCCATCGGTATTTCTTTGTTACCAAAAACTGATGTCGTTCTGATAATTGGATCATAAGTTAAAAAATGAATAATAAATTGCTTGGTACGTTATTGGACGTATGAAATTTGTATTTTAACATCCAATAAATCAAACCTTTTTTATTTATAGTCATATTAAGCGAATCCTATAAAATTATTTCGATCGTTTAAAACAAACGTTCTTGGCTTTGTAGGATTCGGTGGCAAATATTTAATAATGTTACAAGGAATATTGGAGTTACAGATTATGTAGGGTAAGGGTATTTTGGTACTGCGTAATGAAATATATATTACGAGGTGTATTCAAAACATAACGGGCATTTTTAAATTCGGATAGTAGGATTGTATTTTTTTTGGCAATGATTGAAAAAAGTGCTGGCCAAGTGCATAATATCGAATGGAAACTATTGGCGACAACATTAATGTAGGCGAATAAAAATTTTGTAGGTTTCAAAAAAGGAAAATATCTGTTATATTCAGAGGACCTAGTGTATGTTTATTTTACACATAATCACTTGGTGGAGATTTTAGTGTGGGCAAATCGGAGCGACGAATGCGATCACCGTGGCGATCGAGTTAAATAAACACGCACTTGGGCCTCTGAAAACATCTCGTAAATATCTAATATCGCCTACTGACCTATTGACTGATATAATTAATTATAACAGAGAACCGTTCAATATCTCTTTTAAATTGTGCAGTTTTACGTAATCATAAGCCACTTTCCTTCTTCTCCGAGTCTCCTCTGCATAAAACAGGCTTCCCGAAAATACCAAGATAATGCCTCCAGCAACAGAGTGAACCATCTAAAGAGAATCTTCTTACTCTTTCCTCACAAGGTTCTAGTTCCTCCTCCTCGAAACATGGATATACTATTTCCTTAGATACTTCAGGTTCTTTAACGTCTTTTGGTTCTGGTTTACTTGCAATGACTGCTGGTTTATCAGCAAACACGAATTTATACATCAGAGCAATAATACCCACACCTACTAACACTCCTCCTGAAAATATATCGTGATATTTAGTAAGGGGAAAACGCATTAAACTCATAACTATGGAATAATCATTATCTACACGTTAAAAGGGGTTTTAAGGGGGTAATGTTATCTGAAAGTTCCATTTTAACTTCACATCTCGGGGACTAAAGTAATAAAATCTATACAAATAAATAAAATTGGAGTGTCTGTTTGTAATATTAAAATAACCGCTTTTTACTAAATGCATATGTATGTTTACACGGTGCATATGGTCCAAAATAACATTTTTTTTAATTTTTGTCTGTCTGTCTGTCTGTTTGTTCCGGGTAATCTTTGGAACGGCTGGACCGATTTCGACGGGACTTTCACTGGCGGATAGCTGATGACATAAGAAGTAACTTAGGCTACTTTTTTGGATTAGCTTCGCCAAGCGGCGTTGCCCGCGGTTACAACAACAAACGCGGGTAACACCGCGGGTCTCAGCTAGTACAAAATAAGTCTAAACGAAAAACAAACACACCGACTTCTATGCACTTATAAAAAGATAAAAGAGTTAACTCTGTTCTTCATTTCTTAATTTATCAATCATTACTTAGACAGACGGGCCTGTTGGTCTAGTGGTTAGTGACCCTGGCTGCTAAGCCGGAAGTCGTGGGTTCGATCCCACCCAGGAAAAATATTGTGTGATGGGCACGATCATTTGTTCTGTGTCTGGGTGTAATTTATCTATAATACGTATGGATTTAAAAATATATAAGTATGATTTTCAGCAGTCTGGTTACCATAGTACAGCCTCTGCCTAGTTTGGAATCAGACGGCCGTGTGTGAGATGTGTGAGGTGTGAGGTATATTATTATTACTAGTGGTATATTTGCTTTAAGTTTGAATAGGACCAAACGCGAAATATACCCTAAAACTCAGCTGAATTAAGAACTTCTACTTTTTGTTGAAGTTAAAAAATATGCTTTCTATTTTATTTATTCGTATGGTGACGGATTAAGAATGCAGAGTGTCACCAGTATTCATCCCGTGGGTGTCGAAAGAGCCGACTAAGGGAGCAAACTCTGTAGGACAACAGCACTGCAAAGAGAAGGAAAACTTGAAACAAACCCTATACCAACCCGTCTGGCAAGCGTGGTATAGTAGGCCCAAAGCCCCCTTGTAAAGAGAGCCTTACAACAGAGGTTTTGGCCTAGTACACCACGCTGGCTAGACGGGTTGGTATGGCCTCTGCCTATGTCCAGCAGTGGGTTGTCAGGGGCTGTTGATGAAGTTGATATTGCTTAATTGTAGCTCAGAGTTAAGCTCAGAGTGTAATATGAAACTATGTTAAGTAACACCAGGGACAGGTCAAAAAAATCATAAGTTTATATGACGTGATTTATGGATGACCCACTGGTAAAACCGCCTATTTCATAACAAGTGTTGGTCAAAGATACATACATGGTAAATACTTACCAATCATTTGTATTAACTGTGTGTTATCTGATCCTGAAGGTGACCTTGGTGGTGGTCTTGCTGCAGGTGCGCTCATCTTGAATTTACCAGTATTTTCAGATTCAAGTTATTTTCAACGTTCCTTACATTTGCTCCATAATAAAATAATTTTGGTATTGCGTTTAAAATGTTTCTTCTGTTTGTGTCGAGGAAAATTAATATTTTTTGTTGTTTATTAATATTTTTTATTGGGTTTATGTGTAGGTATTAAATTATAGTGTATTATCTATGGTCATGATTGACATTTATTAAAAGTACTGTAAAGTTTCAAATGGGTGACGTTATATTTTTTTGATGATTTTTTGCTGTACAGAGTATAAAATGGTGACCAAAAACTAGTAAAATAAAATGTAGTTCGTTACTAAGCGCATTGTTCGAAAAGTGTAGAATAAAAATAAGACAATTTATAATTTTGGAACCCATGTCTCGACCCTTCGTGTGTAGGCCTCTTTCGACGTACGCCACTCATCGCGATCTTGTGCGATCTGGCGCCACTTCCTATCCCTATAATTGGTATATAGGAATATTTGTATTATGAGGTCGTTTAGTATCTCATATAGTTATATAACTACTTTACAGTAGAAGTACAGGGCAGAAGTACTAAAATTAAATAACTACCTAACTTTGACTAAATACATATAAACAGCTCGGCCTCCTCTGAAAGGGTTTTTGACACCCACATTTTAACAACTATAATTTCGTCGCGCTGATCATTCGAACAGCCAGTCAGAAGAACCCAGAATCCGGAGAAATAGGACGTCACGGTGACCGCGTTTGGCGTTGCGCTTGGTAAAGAGTTCAGTGGGGCCAATCGTAACACGCAGTCAGAGCGTGACAGTCGAGTTGATGTGGAATCAACTCCCACTAGACCCTCTGAACTAAACAACATGAGAACAACGCTTCAATAGCCTTGTATATACCACGAAGAGGTTATCTACTCAAGTACATCAAACCGTTTGGACTTATGTCAAGCGCCGTTGCTAGAATTTCTTTCGTCTTTGAAAAAAGCAATATGAATTTACACTTGACATTTAAAATTCTGTCAATTTCAGGAATCTAAAGTACATAAATAAACATAAAAGTACATCGAAAAACTTTGGCCAAAGGACAACATGAGTGTTTTAAGTTAAAAATGTCTGTAGGAAACAAACATAGTAACAGCTCTTACTAGGTACTGAAATACTCTATTCGTACGCATTTTCGAAAGATATTTTGGCTAATCCCATTACTACAACGCCAAATCGAACCAATTTAACCTATAAGTTATTTAACGGATGGGTTATTTGATCGAAAGGCCATTTTATAGGAGAAATAAATGTATAAACTTCCAATAAATAAATAAATTATTTTTAGTAATAACAGTTTTATCCGTGCGAGAGCTATGCTTTAGCACAAATGGGCCGGAGTAATACCACGGCAATTTTCATCGAGTGCGTTACCGGAGCCCTAAACTCTTCTCCTCCTAGTTCTGTATTTCATTTATTGATTCACAAATTTGTCATCAATTTGCCAAGCGTGGAAAATCATTTAACTTTTACCTTCTCTTATAATCAAAAGCAAACACCTACCTTGTATTTTTGAGGTTTGTCATCATATTTTATCATTCTTTCTTTCTTTTATCATGACTCTAGTTCTGATTTTGGTAAGCTGTACGTTTTAGTCTAAACGAGATCTCTGTCTCTCTCTCTTCTCTGAGCCTATTTTAATAGAAGCTGAACCTGAAGATATTTGTAGACATTCAGTTCCTGGCCAAAACTAAAAGTACTAAAATCATTTTTCTTTTTAGATGTTACCACAATGAAAAATTAGCACAATGTTAATTTATTTACTCGAAGCCATAGCAGTTTACATATTATTCCTATTCAGTTTGTGGAGTTCAGCTTACTTACTGTTTGGAAAAGCAATATGTAAGTATACCTATATCATCATCATCATCATCATCAGCCTATCGCAGTCCACTGCTGGACATAGGCCTCTCCCATTGCACTCCACTTAGATCGATTTTGGGCTTCTCGCATCCAGCATTATATCATACCTATATACACTAGGAATATCATGTTACCAACCACCACCAGATAAGGGCCGGCTCGACCGGAGGGATACCACACAGCCTCACAGAAAACCAGAGTTAAGCTATTATTTATGTGCGGCGGTAATCACTTACCATCAGTTGACCTGTCTGTTTGCCCACTACGCCATAAAAAAAACTATCTTCTATTTAGCTCACAACTCGCTTGTTAATTGCCTGCTGTTAATTGTCTCACAGTAGAAATACCACAGTAAGATATTTTATTAAGTTCTATTGATTTAAGGAACCAGTCTGAGAATCTAACTCTAAAAATCAGCTGTTCATTGCTGACTATTCTTCTCAACAAAATTCCCGATAAACCAAGTAACTAGGTGTGTAATTGCGTACATTCCTTCCAATTTAAACTTCACACAAATAGTGGAGATGAGCCTAAAACGGGTAAGCTAAGGAAGATGTGAAATAAAAAATACTTAGAAACGTAACTGTTCACAATATTTATATTTCGAGGAACGTTCCTTTAATAAAGTATCGAAAAACAAAAACAAACAATCATTCTCTTCAATAATCATAGAAAAACACAAAATAGAACATCCTTTGAAATACCCGTTTTGCCCTTATGGGGGCCTAAATCGGGTACCGCATTTGGGCAAAACGGGTAAAGGCTGAATAATAAGATATTTTTAAAGTCAATCAACAAAAATAACATATTTTTAAAGTATTTTGTAACAAAAAAAATATCTAAGCCTCAATTATAAGTCTCTTAAATTTTTTATCAGTCTCATATTAAAATTAAAATCTTCCTTTAAACTTTAAATCAACTTAGAAACTACCAGGAAACAAATATCTATAAAATCAACAAACTTCTGATTTATTCTTGACAGGCATCACAGTAATAATGGCCTCTACCAGACTAAGTAGTGCACGCTTCATGAGCCCACATATTACAATCATCACACCTGATCCAATCTTCTAGTGGTGGATGAGTACATAACTCAGTACAAACCAAACAAGCGTATTCAGCTTCGTCATTTTGACTATTTTTTGGACCACGTTTGGATCTTACCTGTCTCTTATTGATATTACTACAAGCTGCTTTTACTTCCTTCGATTTTTTATTCTTTTTACCACACTTCTTCTTATAAGCGCTGGGTTCCTTTAAATTTTTCTTCACTCTGCGCCTGTAATAGGAGGGATCCGGGAAATTTTTCTTCACTGTCTCAAGCTTAGTGTTAGTACGTTTCTTCTTTTTATTTTCGTGTTCTCTTTATGCTTCTTTTACTGGTGTACTTGTGAGTATTTCAGCCTTTTGTGTTTTACGTTTTCGGGTAGATAAATTTGGTGTCATTTGAGGAAGTGGCCTAATATCTAGATGGGTTTTATGCTGTTTTATTGGTATTTCTGGTCATTTCATGAGTCAAAGGTCTGTTGACTTCAGTAACTTGCAACTCCAGTTCTGTGTCTGCCATTTGTGGTGAAGAAGTGTCAGGTTGCATCACTATTGCTGTATTTACAGTTTGTCCTGTAGTCGCTGCTGCTGTGCTGGGTAGTGTAATAGTTCTACTGCAATCTGAATGTTCAACAGCGTTTTCGTTTGCAACAGACAGTCCATCAGCAATATTGGTAAGAGGTATTTCAATAGGATTATTGATATTAGACATATCGGGTTCAATAGTTGTTGACTCATTCTCATTTTCGGTTGTAGGTTCTGGCCTGTCTGTTAGAGTAGATGGCATATAATCACTGTCATCAAATATACCAGTGGCATCCTTTTTTAATATGCCGCTGCAACGTAGATAAGTTTATACCGTACTTCTTAGCTGCAGCATTCACTGAGCTTTTGCTAGCGTCTTCCATAGCAAGTTTCATTACGTTCTCATCAAACGATGCGTTAGAAGTTTTTCTTTTATATTTGTTAACCATCTACAATATAAAAACAAAATAAGCAATTAAAACTTTATCGCAACCAGCTAAATTACCTACACGTTTATACCAGGGCAAATCGGGTTTATACCCGTTTTGCCCAAAAGCACATTTTTTTATTTTGCAAGGCCATAACCTCAAAACAAAATGCAGAAAACTCACGAGTTTTCGAAATTTAGAGGCACATTACTTGTAAAATCATCACACAAAACTTAGGTAAACATATTCTACACAATATTTGAGTAGTCAGAGCTAGCATACTTCTATTTTTTTTAGTAAAATCAGCGAAAAAATTTTTTTTTGTCACACCTTGCAAGCGCTTGCTTCACAGCGATGAGCTGACTGCCTGTGATTCGTCAACAGTCACGCCATCTGTCCGCACTCACATATTCTCACGAATAGTCGTAATACGCTCACTAGCAAGCCTACCCGTTTTAGGCGGGCTACCCGTTTTAGGCTCACCTCCCCTACACGCTCATCAAAAAGTTCGGTCTTGAACATTGCAAAGTTCATAAAAAGATTACGAAACGTTGACAAATCTCATGCATTCTCAAGGACAGCGCTTTCTGGCAAACAAGAATTTCATTTCATTGAAAGTAAGACTTAAATATTTGTTCTGAATATCATCTAATAATATTAACCAGGTATTTGGAGAAGATCTTGTACAGCGATGCTATCAGAACAGACACAGGCCGTCTAAGTATGCTTGGTTTACCTACATTTAAATATGCAAAATTATGCTGTTGTAAGTATGAAAATAAAACCTGCATAAATAAAACAGGGCTGATAGCCATACTAGAACATTATATTTGGAAGACGCTGTTGTTTCACTGGCTTAAGCGACGTGCTCTTATATATCCAGCAAGGTCGGAATTCCTTGGGACCCAAGAACCGCCATGGAGGGTGCAGGAAAATCTGGTGTGAACCAGTGCTGGGATCTCCGTTATTATCGTTGCAGACTCTTAAACGAAGCCAGGTATTATCTCAAATATGTTTTTTCAGGTTCCTTTATCTTCGTTTGCAAAGTAGAATTTTAATTAGTATTAAATTATGTACTTACTATCATTGACGTAGATTATTTTCAAACT